ACCCCCCACCCCCCACCCCCGTTTCCTCTCCTTTTTGTTGTGTTCAGGTCTCCTAGGGCTGGGCTGATAACCATTCACTTTGGGAAGACAGTCTTATTTAGTGAGTCCACTGGTTCAAATGCTAATCTTATCCTGAAATATCATTATAGATGCACCCAGAAACAATGTTTAATCAGTGTTAAACAGTGGGCCAACCCACTCAAGTTGACACATAAAATGAGTCATTACAGTGGTGGAGTTGAAATTCTGCCTAGTGTTACTTAGCTTCAAATTATATACCCCTTGGACCTTGATTTCACTATGTACCCCAGGCTGCAAAACATATACCCTTAAAAGTCAGACACAGTGTCACATACCTATAATCCCAGCACTGGGGAAGCTGAGGCAGGAGGATTATCAAGCTTGACACCAACTTGAGCTACATGGTAAGACCCTTCTTTAAAAAAAAAAAAAAAGTATGAGGCTAGAGAGATGGCTCAGCTGATAAAAATGGTTGTTGCCCATGCCTAGTTTTTTGATAACTTGATGCTATGATAGAAGGAGAGAGTCAAGTCCCAAAAGTTGTACTGACTTACACAGAACACACACACGAATTTTTTTAATTTATTTTTTAATGTTTTGGTTTTTCGAGACAGGGTTTCTCTGTAGCTTTGGAGCTTGTCCTGGCACTCACTCTGTAGACCAGGCTGGCCTCAAGCTTACAGAGATCCTCCTGCCTCTGCCTCCCGAGTGCCAGGATTAAAGGCGTGCAACACCACCACCCAGCTCACACAAAATATTTGTAAAGTATGTTTTATATGTGTATATATGTGTATATACACTATTGACTGTTCCGTACTCATGACGTCTTTATTTAACACATACTTCAAAATGCAATAATTGTTCTGTTACTTACTCATCATGTTTTTTTAAAATTTTAGATGCATTTAGTTAGCATACAAAAGAACAGAATCCATTGTGACAGGTACCTTTCATTCCTTGTACCTCACTCATGTTTGGTGCTTTGTCCCCTTTGATACCACGTCTTGAACTCTTTAGCGTAGATAAAAAGCATTTCCTTCCCTCTAGGGTGTTACTCCCTATAGTTTTTGTAGCAGTGGCCTTCAGAATTGTATCTGTTCTGTATCATCTCTAAGCTTTGCAATGAAGAGTGTGTGACTAATGAACACACAGTGGCTCTCGGGAAAATTGATTTATTTGCTTGTTTTGTGGGGTGGAGTCAAGCCTAGGAGCTTGTATGTGCTGAACATACGCTCTACTGCTCAGCTACACCCCCAGCTGCATGTGTGATTGAGTTTAAATGTTATTTCAATGTTTGTTATTTCTCTTCATGTTAAGGTAAAATTGATGTTTCTGAGTTAAACAAGATATATTTAGACTACATAAACTCACAGCCTAGGAATAAGATCCATGGAAAAGAGGAACTTTGGGAAAAATTACAGCATTTATGGAAGGTACAATTTCTTAAATACAAATTTATTTCTGTAATTCATTCATTGTAGGGAATTTTAGTATCCCTAGTAAACCAGTAAAAATATTTTGCAAACGTTATTGCTGCCCAGGTGTCAGGTAGCATACCTTCCTTAATCCAGTTTGTATATAGTAAAGGTTAGAGTGTTTAATTAAATGTCTCCCAAAGAAATTCATTGAAAGTGAGCTAATTTAAAAGGTGTCGGTGTCTTCTTGCCTATTGACATGACTTTTCCCTAGGAGAGGCAGTGCAGTGCCTGTGCTCTTGCCATGCTAAAACCATGCTCTACAGGGTGGGCTGGCCATTGCATATTGGGATCTGTCTCATCAAAGGCATGTGCCACCACCACCCGGACTGCAAATTTTCTTATGAAATGTTTCACAGGCCTTTAATTCCAGC